AATTAATGCGAACAATAAGTATCACAGGTAAGAATTCACATTGATTTTGAACTGTATTATACCTTTAATGTATCTTCCCCTTTGCCCTCGGTCTCATCAAGACGTTTGAGACGTCCCTCATATAATCCCTTGAATTCGCCAAGAAGAGAGTGCATTTGGCCGCTACGGGCACCTTCAATCGAAAAAGATTCTGCCATCCTTGATATCAAACACAGTGAAATCAAAAGCCTTCTTCTACCACATTATTTTTGTAGATTAACTCCTTGGATCTGTCAGTTTCCCTGCCTCAACCAGCGGAAATCGTTATCATTCTACCATAAGCATATTAAAGGTAACTTCTGATTGGACGAAGAGAAAGTCACATGCAAAAGTCATCCAACCGTATGGGATGTACTTTCTTTGTTATTGTTTAGGTATCAAGCACATGTTTCAATGTAAATTACACCAATTAATTTTTAATTACAAGCTGATTTGATTAATTAAGCGAAAAACTGTGACCATATGGTAAATGAGTCCTAGTGTTGTTAATTATGCACTGTCGTTAATCTCATTAAATCTGCTAATAACGGTGCGGGAAACATGACCGAACTTGCTGAAAGTGAAAGCAGTGATTTATTAAACAAACGGGCGGATCAATAATTTTTCCTTTACTTAAATCTACACGAAAGACATATCAATAGTAAATGCATAGATATCAAATCTTGAAATGAAAATCCACGCAGACACGGGAAAACGTTTTTATCATACTTTTTTCCCGAAAATTAGAATATACTTTTTGTCTTATAACAAATTACATGTATATATTATAAATTGGTTTATTATATTATATAATACAATTCTAGCTGTAAAAATGCAGCCCTTTTCATTTTTTCTCATGAAAATATTAATTCAACATTTTAATAAAAATATCAGAGAGTAAGAGAGGGCAACATTATTGCAGTTAAATAATTTTAAACTAGTTTTAAAACACATTCGATCCTAGATTAAGTGAAATGAACCAAATTCACACGACGGATCACAGGCACTTGGAGTTTGGACCCCCTTTCCTTTTTTTTTTTTCCCATTATATCTGGGGTCGAGTCATCTTTTCCCCATTTTTCTATTCTAATATGCACTCATATATGTTATCAATAATATAACTCTTTTGTCTCTATAAGTTGTTTTTAAATATATCGTTTTCGACGGATGCATCAGTCGAAAACGATATATTTAAAAACAGCTTACAGAGACAAAGGAGTATTAATTCATTATTGATACATATTAGGTATCAGACGAAAACCATATATTTAATCACTGAAAACAACTTATATAGAGACAAAAGAGTTACATTATTGATAACATATAGTGCTTATTTATGGTGGCATATTTCTGCCCCTTGTGTGCAAGTTATTTTTCTATTGAATATGTCGACATGCAAGATAGATATGTTGACATGCAAGATAGTTAAGTCAACATGCAACATAAATATGTTGACATGCAAGAAAATTGCAATCAAATGAATATTATAAAACAATCTTCAAAAATCTCAAATATTGCCCACATGTGACATCCAACATACTAAATGCTACTTATTTATGTTAACATGCAAGATAAATATGTTGACATGTAACTTAGATATGTTAACATGCAACTTATTTATGTTGACATGCAACTTATTTATGTCGACATGCAACTTAGATATGTTAACATGCAACTTATTTATGTCGACATGCAACTTGGTTATGTTGACATGCGAGATAAGTATGTTGACATGCAACTTATAAGTTGCATGTTGACATAAATATGTCGCATGTTGACATAAATAAGTTGCACGTCAACATATTTATCTTGCATGTCAACATAACTAAGTTGCATGTTAACATAAATAAGTTGCATGTTAACATAAATAAGTTGCATGTCAACATAAATAAGTTGCATGTCGACATAAATAAGTTGCATGTCGACATAAATAAGTTGCATGTCGACATAAATAAGTTGCATGTCAACATATTTATCTTGCACGCTAAAAAGCATCTGGCATGTTGGATGTCTCATGTGGGCGATATTTGAGATTTTTCATAATATTTATTTGATGCATTTTTCTTGCATGTCAACATATTTATGTTGCATGTTGACATAACTATCTTGCATGTCAACATATTTATCTTGCATGTCGACATATTTGATAGAAAAATAACTTGCACACAAGGGGCAGAAATATGCCACCATACTTATTAGAATGGAAAAATAGTAAAAAAGTAAAAATCCCCCAATCTATTTTTCATTTGGCAAACGTTATACAAATATAATCCATACTAAACTTAGACACAACTGTATACTTAATAATGATTTACACAAAAGAAATATTATTAATAGCCCTTTATGTTCATGTGGAAAGTATGAAGATGTTTATCATTTCTTTTTTGCCTGCAGAAATTATCCAAACGCTAGGAATAATCTTTTTTAATCGCCTATTTTTACTTGACGAATTGGTTAATATTGACACAAATTTGTTATTATGTGGTGATGTAAATTTGCCTGTAGAAACAAACACATATATTTTTGCTGCTGTGCATAAATTTATTGACGAATCTTGTAGATTTTAAATTGTTATGTTACTGAACAAATATTTCACTTGTATAATTTTTTCTATGTACTACATGTATTTTAACTGCATGACGTATAGTTATATTTAAGGATAGGAACGCGTAAGTTGAAAGAACTTGTTTCCAATCTTTTTGTTTATACAATAAAATATGTTCAAAACAAAACAATGGAAAAATAGGGGAAAACATGACACGACCCCAGATTTAAAAGGAAAGAAAAATGGAAAGGGGGGGGGGTCCATACCCCAAGTGCCTGTGGACGGATAACATGTAAGGAGACAGTCAGTTTTGAAGAGTTATACGCCCTTGATGAAAAGAAGAAAATTTTTGATTTCTCAAAATTTCTGAGGCAAATAATTCATTTTATTTCATAATTTAAATAAAAAGGGAGTTTATGCATATTTTCACCAAGAGATTTGTTTGAAATTCAAATTACTTTTTACAATGTCTTATAAAAACATGCGCTGCCCATAGACTTCAATGTAAAATTCAAGGTGAAATTAATTGGACAATAATCAAAATTTTGTAAATTCCTTTGTTGGAGCATTTTTTTTGATTACATCTTCAAAATACTACTGTGATTAAAAATATCGGAACATTCATTTATTAGGTACAAAATATGGTCTTTATAAATTGAATACCTTTTTTCGTTTTTAATCAGTCTAGAGAGGCCGGAGCTCAAGGCAGGCGCATAGCATCAAGGGGCCTGGTCCTCTTTTTTCCTGACATACAACATTTTATTATATAGAAAACGTTCACTGAAAGCACGGTTGCCCCCCCCCCTTATTTTTTGGGGGTGGGGTGGGGGATGTGGTTAAGTATAGTCAAATAAGGGTAATGAAGTATGTTTGAGTTTTAAAATGGACCTCTCTCTCTCGTCAAGTTTTTCTTTGGTAAGTTGCCTTTTCTTTGCTGGTTGCCCCCTTTCAAAAACGATGCTACATCACTGCCAGGTTCCCATCTGAATGTTAGAGTTCCTAAATTTCTTTTTAAAGTAACGCAGAAAATTAGCCCTTTTACTAAAAATGAGAGTCATGTATCAGAAGAAAATTGACAACTTGTCTGCCTTAATCCCCCCCCCCCCCCCCCCCCCCACACACACATACACGAAAGAAATAGTTCTTAAAAGTTTGGATTGGCTAACTTAAATATATATTTTGCTTGTCATTATGACACCCCCTCCCCAAAAACACAAGTGATTTCAATTTCATTTTCATACAAAGGACTTTCAAAACAGAGTCCTCCTTAAAATAATGTTTGTTTTCCCTCCCCCGACTCAGCGTAAAAAAATGAATAAATCAATAGGTAAATTGGGAAAAGTTTTTCAAAAAAATTTACCATGCTTGTTGACAAGAATAAAAAAAAAATCGTTACCTGGAGGTTAAAAAGAAGGGTTCATTCGGTCTAGTTTTAGTCATCGGTAGGGAAAGGGCAAACGAACATTTTTTAAAGGATGGCCTAATTGAGAAATTGATACAATATTCGGGGTCTTTTTAAATTCACTTTCACTGAAAGTGGGGGATATTAATTTGAGTCTGTCTGTTCATATATACCTCTAGCTGCACGTATTTCTGTGTCTATAATATATTTGTTTCTTTGTTTCTGCGCAATATCTCGGAAAGCCTTTCAGCTTTTGCAAAAAAAAAATTCACACAATTCTCTACGCTCTAAAGGAAATCCCTATTGATTTTGAGGTCAATAGGTCAAGGTCATAAACTCATAAATTATGTTTTAACACTTTTGTAACATGCGATATCTCGATAAGCCTTTGAGCTTTTGCCATGAATTTTATTTTGAGGTCAAAGCCAAAGTCGTAGCACATGGTTGGTGTGACCGGTTCGCAGGGGATGCTCATTACTCAATGGCGCCTGATCCCACCTCTGATGTGTTGGAGGTCTGTGTTTGCTCTGCTCTTATTTTGTATTGTTATATAAACTTTTGAGCTTGAATACTGTTGGTTATCTCCATATATTTCTTTTCTGTCTGTGTGCAAAACTTCTTTTCATGAAAGCGGAGGACAATTATTCTACAAAGCAATGTATTAGTAATGGAAATACAGTTGAATTTTTATATTTCAAACACCGATATCTCGGATACCATGGATATGTTGAAGTGATTTGGAAGTCCCAACCACTTATTCTTTAAGTATTTTACCCTCAAATCATCAGTCCCATTAAGTTCGAGATAACGAGATTTGACTGTATCTGTAATGTTTTATTAAAAACATAATAAACACCTATATATTTCTTTATCTTTTTCTTGGTAAAGTAATGCAGTCTTATGCAATATTAATATCACTTGTTTAGCTAGGCATTGAAATGGACTTGATGCATTGGAGCTTGACTGATAAACTAATGCCCAGTGATATAAAACTGCCTTACTTTGAATTTATTTTGGTATAATAGATTCAAACACTTGTTATTTTCTAGAATTTATTTAGCATTTCACCAGAAACATTATTTGGTTGGTTGAAAATACACCACAAAAATGTAAAAATGATTTCAACTTCCATTTCACAGAATATAGCACCATATAAAACACTTTTAAAATCAGAGACATTTTCCATATATAGAGAGTTACAAAAGTAGAAAAGAATAATCAAATGCATACACCTTGTAAAATTCAAATAAGGGGAACAACTCATTTTACAGCTTTCATTCATGATTGTTGTATGATCTGTAATACATGAATTTCTAAATGCATGATTTAAATTTTTGTTACAATTTCCTCACTAAATCAAAGTTCATCCTTTAGCCTCATTTGGAATGATGTTAAAATATTGAGTCTGTCATTAAGTTGTTCCTTCTTTTTATCACTGACTTTACCATCTTTTAATTTTTCCACCCGTTTAATTTCAGTGTCCACAAATTCTGGTGTTTCTACTAGCTTCTTCATGGTTTTTACATAAATTTCTGCTGCTCTTTTATCTTTTTCTGTTGTATATTTTTGTGCTAACTCTTCTGCTTTTGTGAAAATCTCTGCTTTTTTGTCATCCGGAGTTTTTCTAAATTCTGCAACCAGTTTATCAAAGTCTTCAAGACAACTTGGCAGTCCAAGCCACAAACCTAGAAAAAGGTATGACAAATTATTTTTTTAACAAATAAAAATAAAAGGTCATATGGCTTTAAGAGAGCTCAAACTACTTTAATAAGATATGATAGAAGTACATGTATTTTTAAAAAGTTGTTAAACAATACTGGGTATATTGTTGTAGACTTTAGTTCTATCCTTGTATGAAGTAAATCCAGTTTAGATGACAATATATAAATGTATCTCTTGTTACTGGTCTATTTTTTTTCTTCTTTTTTTGAGATTTATTTTTTTTTTTGCAGAAATAAATCATCATCTGGTAAATTATGACTAGATTTACCTGATTCTCTGATCAAAAACTTTTTGATATCGTCAGCTTTTTTGACATCTCCTTTGTAGGTCTCTGGTTCCTCTTTGCCCTCCACAAACAGTTTGTACACAGGGAAGTCGTCTTTCTTTGCTCCATACTTCTCAGCAATGTCTGCATTTTCCTTCTCTCCATAATCTAAAAAATATAAGATGCAGACTTTAAAGATGGATACATCATAGAGTGAACAAGTATTCCTTTGAAAGGAATTACTGGCATTGGATCATAAAGTAAGCTTTATGGAATGTCTTGAAATAATTTTGTACACTTTTCTTTCTTTATTTTATTAATTTAAATTAGCATTTTTTCTATGAGTATGTATATGCATATACATGTATTGAATTTCACATTATTTCTCAACTGAGTATGATGTGGAAAGGATAGCCATATTGACATTTACAGACATACTATTTATGAAGAGATGCTCTGGTTTGCAGTGCCCTTGTTAATGAAAAAACGTCTGCATCTCAAGCCAAATGGCATCAACATAATGCTTTGAAATTAGTACTTTTAAACACGTTCTGAAAGATTTATATGAATTGATCATTGCGTAATCAATGATAGGGCCCACAATAGGTGTCACTGGTCAACAGGGGATGCTTACTCCTCCTAGGTACCTGGTCCCACCACTGAAATTTCCTGAGATCTGCATTTTATGCCTCTTAATTAACGGATTTGTATTGCTTATAGAATTCTTTTTTAGATCCATCACTGTGTGCTTGTTATCTTCATCATTTCCGTACCCTTGCCAGTTTAAACATAATGCTCCATTTGATTTTCTGATATTTTACCTGCTACCTGCACCTCCGCACAGAGTATATCAGACTGTGACAATGTGGCCTCCACCACCGCCTTAAATGTGTCTTGCTTGTCTCCATAAGGGTAGGTCTCGTCAAACTTAACCAATACCGCCTTAAATTTACTAATAACCTGTAAAATTACAACATAATAGATTGATTAGTGAAACTCAATGACTATGTGTTATTGATAAATGGGATGATATTGATATCAACTGAAAGATTCCTCTCTATAGTTAACAAATGTAACAGGAACAGAGAAAATTAATGGCAGTGGACCAGGAAGTGAACCCCATCTTCTCTAGTCAGATGTTCTGACACTGAGCTACCTTTAAGTCAATTTCAACAATCCACAACTAGCCAAAAGCACTACAAAGAACATACTCCCAACTTTAATTGACTTTGCCACCAGACACCCACTACCCATGTTCTTTAGCCCTTAGGGACTTGTACCTGCATGTAGCATGCAATTGCAAGTTTATATGTTGAAAATGGCAACAAATAGAACAGGAGTGGCGACCCAATGGGAGATTCACCCGTCACTTCCAGGGCATGGCATGGGATTCGATACCAGGCCCCCTGAATCTCCCATCGGGCCAACACTCTAGTTGTTCTATCCCTTTCCTGTGTATTACTGTAAATGGGAGAGAGGAAAAATGCAGCGGATCAGACCAGATTCAATTCTGTGTTCCTTGAATTTCCAGTGAGGTGCTCTACTATTCAACTGTGCTATCTGGCCACCAGCTATCGAAACTGTCTGGCCATCACATTCCGTCTTGGGCCCCTGAAGACACTAACTTAGACTCTTCCCTGGCAGAGGGAAGGTACCTGCCAGGTAAGAGTCTGAGTTATTGTCTTCAGGGGCCTAAGACTTTTCAGGAGGGAGGAATGTGGCAGTCAGACAGGTTTGATAGCTGCACCATGGTGGCCAGATAGCACAGTTAATTGGTAGAGTAACTCACTGGAAATGAGGGATTGAATCTGGTCTGGTCCGCTGCATTTTTCCTCTCTCCCTTTTTAGCAATACACAGGAAAGAAGAAAAATTTTTGCTGGACTGGGAATCTAACCCTTTACCACTGCATTACCAGCCAGGCGGCCCAATCATGAAAGAAACCCAGGCCCATCAACATTATACAAAATTATGGATAGAGTTATCTACCTTATCACAATAACTCCACATACAGTGCAAGACAAAAATAAGTATAATATACAGCTATTTGCAAAAACAATGACAACAGCTTTTTTGATTAAGAAAAATACTTTTCAATATTGCTCTAGACAGACGTATAGTTGCCATAAAAGTGTACTTCATCATTATTCCACAAGCCGAATGGATGCATGTTGTACACAATTTTACTACCAGCTGATTACCTTGTCAAAGACACCACTGTTTAACAGAATGGACCCCTGAACTGTCTCTGACGAAACGTCCTTGATTCCCAGAAATATTACAATAGTCAGGCACAATTTTGCACCGATCTGCAGCATTTTGCTACCTTCCGGCTTATCTCAACACGCGTAATGTTAATATTTTAGTGCCCAACGTATGGTTCGATAACCATGAGTGGAGACACTAGGGGGCTCTTCCGTAATTTTACAAAAATAATACAAGATCTTACTAATTGCTGTAAATCACGCTCGCAGTATCCTAAGTTAGGGAAAGGTTTTACAATGGAATTTTAAATATTATAACTGATGTTCATTTGTTTATCGTATCTTTTGTTTCAAATAAATATTAAAAACAAAGTTAATCTTTTGCATCTGCATGGAATACAGTGAAGAATACATAAAAAAAAATAGCTAACGTTAAATAAATTATATGATATGCGGGTAATAAAGTAAAATAAATAAATAAATAAAAGAACATTTGTTAAGAAAAACTAGCAGAGAATGTGAAAATAACCCCTTTTTTCCATTTACAAAGTTGTGACTCAAATTTACATTTTAATCTGCCCCTGACCTTGAACTTTTGCAATTGACCTTTGGTCAAGAACGTGACACAACTGTAATTCTTAATCAATATTGTGTTAAGTATTAGTTTCCACTGTTACCCTGTTAGAATTTGATAAACTGGATACAAATTATATTTTTTTTCTGCCAATTTTAAATGGCCTTGAACTTGCTTGAATGACCTTTGGTCAATGTAAAGTCATGCCCTTGTGGCATGAGTAATCCTTTCGCCTTATGTGAGCTTTGTATGCGCTTTGTATGCATGCTTCTCCTTTCAACAGTATGGTCAATGAAAAGGTCATGCAAATATTACTTAATTATGAGATCTTTGTACAGATCAAGTAGGAACTTACTGGTAATTCAAATGTTGTTCCATAATAGAAAATGGACACGAATTTTATAAATTTTTCTGCCAGTCAACCTGAACTATCGGAATTACCTTTAAACAAAGTATTGAGGTCAAAAGGTAAAAATTGTTGGTATCCAAAGGAAAGTCTTGTCACAAAAATACACTTGTGAAATATGAGTTTCAAGCCCTAGCGCCTACTGTTCAAAAATTACGACAAAGGTTAAAGATTTAGAAAAGTGGGTAAGATTCTAAGGTCAAGATTAAAAGGTATACATGTATTTACAGTCATTAAAAGGTCTTGTCACAATGAATGCACATGTGAAGTATGAATCCACTATCACCAACAGTTGAAAATATGGCCAACGTTAAAGTGTGGATTTCTTTTTTTCTTTTCTTTTTTATAAAAGTGGATCAAACTCTAAGGTCAAGGTGAAAAGGTCAAAGAATGTATTCGCTTTAACAAAAGAATTGACCTATAGTAAAGAACAATTTCCCGGAAAAAGTGACATGTAAAAATCAGTCTTTATTTGTTGTTTTCTACCGTATATGTGTCTAAATTTTTTTAATTTGTATTTTATACCTAAAATTTATTATTTGCAACTTTACAATAAACCTCTAAAGTTGATAGAAACACCATTTTGTCCTTTAAAGCGTTGATTTTTGCATGAATTTTGGCCTTGAAGTCCATCAGGGCAGGCGTGCCCCTAAATAAAATTGTGATATTTTGATAGGTTAGGATGTAAGGAATAATTTAAGATAAGATTTTTTTAGGGGCACCCCTGCCCTGGGGTCGAAATTCACAAAAAACCTACAAAAAATTAGGAAACCAGATTTTCATAATCTGCTTTAAATTTACGCCACTCATTCTTATAGTCAGACTAGCTCAGTTGATATATGCGCTGAAATTTACTCTCTTTTTAAAGTCTGCCACTGACAACACTTATAAAGTTTTAAATTTCTTTTCAAAGACCATTTTAATTTTTTTTATAGACTTGTGTATTTTTCCGTCAATTTTCTATCCCCTATGCATGCCCATTCTTGATATAAGAAACACTAAAGAGATATCAAATCGTAACAATCCAATGTAATTGTGTTGGAACGAAGTATTAGTTTCTCATGACAAGAATAACTCACTCTGTGTTACTCAATTTTCTTGGCATTGAGCTGCGATGAATTCAATTGTACATATTCCTTATAATTTAATCACATTGATTCTGGCTACATATTTCATTAATGCACTCCGTTGGATTTCATTTATGCCTTTATGATTTGCACACATTAATGACAAGTTTTTATTATATCCACGGATAAATAGCCTAGACAAAAAGAATAGAATTTCAGAGACAGTAGACATTACCTTTACGCACAAAGAGAAGTAAAGACAAATATCAATTATCACATTTGGAGATAACAAACTAAGAAAATCAATAAAAAGCCGTTCCTCCAATCTCTACTCACTGAAATAAAGATTTAGGAAAAACAAATTGTTATATGTATTCAGGTCATTAATCAAATATCGACAAGCTTTTTGTATAAAACCGAGCCCGGTCCTATAGGTGAAATTTTTGATATGCCGTAAGACATAACTTAAGATGTGCCTAAGTTATAACTTAGGAAGTTTCTAAGATTTGTCACAGCTGTTTCACGAACAATCTTATCTTAAATTTTTCCTAAGTAATTTCTTAAGTTGTGCATAATTTAATAAGGACTAATGGAATAACTCCTCCGCTCTATCTACAACTCTCAGTATGTCAGTCTTGGTTATATTTTTAGCTTCAAAAAGGGAGGGATTATCCCCACTTTCAAAGGACTTGGACAGAAGTACATGTATGTTTTAACATTGCGAAGTTTGCTGCTAGAACTAAGCATTCACAGACACACCCTTTCAAGCCTTCTTCCCTTCCGAGCACACGACATTTGTATTTTTTAAAATATAGTTCTACGTTTTATACGTTTACTTTATTTTGCTCTTTATAAGGTATCGATCCCAGGTATTGTTTTTACTATACTTTTCTACTTGTCAATTATTGAATGAAATTTAAAAATGATTGCTTGAACATGAACACATGTGAGGGCAATAAAAAAAATATGCTTTTCCAATGACTGTTCCACATTAGGTTAAAGATATATAAAATAAGAATGCCATGCTAAAATTCGCGACTACAGATATGAAAATACTAAAAGAAGTTAAAAAAGGAAATTCATTGAAATCTCTTGCATAGCTATACATTGTATTAAGCGGGGAGCATAACTGGTTGTAATCTCATGACCGTAGGAACTGGAGGAGCACGGGAGAGGGGGAGGTATAATAATAATTTTTCCTATGTATAGAATACTATAGAAAACAAAACTGTGTTATGTTTGTGTCTTCTCAATAATTACGTCCTAGAGGAGATTAGATGCAACCATTCTTGAGAGAAACATCTACTGGTATATATCGTTAAAGTGTGAACAAGTGTTTCCATTCATCTAAAATATCCTTTTTCGAATTCTATTTTAATATTCATTAAAATACTTGTAATATATTAATAAATATACATGTACATGTAGATAAAGACATTATGTATGCATGCATGTATAATAATTGGATCAAATCATGTGCTATTTTTTGTTAACAAAGGTGTGCTCTTCAAATGATGGGGAATTATTCCAGTATGTGTACATCTATTTCGCCGACTCCAGTTTTGTGAACTGACATTTTTATATACCTTAATGGACTAATTTTGACACATGTTTGCCAATTATTGAAATCCTAGTATTTACGTGCAAAGTAAAGCAGTTTTATAGAGAACACAATCATCCGTATACAAGAGTTATGGATTTTCAAACACATTCTCTCTCTCCATAGGAAGTCTTGGATATGTAGCCGCAATATTTAGTTTCTTCCTAGGATTTACCTTTCCTATATAAAACTTAAAACGTGTAATGAACTTAGGAAAAAGTTCTTTCTATATAACTTAGCCTTTGTGAAGTCAGTGAAGTGATCCTTCTCTTGTCATAAGGGATTGACGTGTGAAATATGAAAGCTATAGCCACGTCCATTCAAGAGTTATGGGCAAAAGGCAATCTTCGATTTCGGAGGCATATAAAAATTAAAGTGTTCTATCATCGATGCCTTTGAAGTCAGTTTCTTCTCTTTTGGTACTTTAATTATACATATATGATATTGAAATTTGAATTTTTCTCTGTTCTATGACTATGAGAGAGGGGGATGGAGGGAGTGGGGTACAAGCATTTAAACTGCTTCATGGATTTTTTTTCAGCATGCATACGCGATATTGATAAGACAAATTAATTAATTCATAGTATATCGACAGTACCTGGCCATAAGTGAGTCATAATTGCATTCTTACATTATATATTTCATTGAAAAGTCAACTTTTATAAAAACTTGTTCTGATGTCAATTTTAGCTCAATTTTCATGATTTTTACACTGAAGGAATCATGCAAAATGGTTAAATTTTCTTTCTTAAAATGAAAAAAAATGATACTCAAATTATTGAGAATAAATTTTAAAAATTGTCAAGAAAAAAATTTCTAACCTCAAATTGCTATGATTTCTTAACAAATTGAAGTATGTAGAATTTTTATTTTGCACTTGACTTGATATCACCGCAATGTCTAAAGATAAAATTATTTTGAAATAATGTGAAGAAACTACAAAGAATAGCGCATTTTATCGTGTTTTAATGATGAAAAATTAGCAACAAATAACACTGCAATAGTATTGTAGAAAAATGCGTATACAGTGGAAAAATAAAATTATAACTCACTTCTAGGTAGGTATTTTGAAGATATAAATTTTAGAATAATTCATTCATAAAAATATTAATTAATATATGTGTATTTATTGAAAGTATTTGAAACTAATTAAATATTTCAACTTATGACACGTGTCACTCTCTGGTTTACCTCGATGAACTAACGTGTCCTTAAACAACCGCTCGCTAAATATTGATTATGAATATTCATGAAATATGAGTGGGGTTTGGCCAAAAGGAGCTAAGAACCCTGTAGATAACATTGTCTTTTTGAAAGCGGATGTATTTACTTAGACAGTAATTTTAAAAGAAGAATCAAGTGTCGAATGGAGCATGCAGTTGATTTATGCCTATCGTCAAATCCTTTGTGGATATATACTGTACCTAACTTTAAATTAATTGTTTGTTTCTCCAAATAAATTAAACATATAATTTGACTGAACATATCTGTAAGGGATTTTAAAGATGAGTGTAATTCATTTTAACCTGGGTCAATTATCTAAAGAAAAATGCAATTATTT